GTTTCTCTCTCTCTCTCTCTCTCTTTCTCTCTCTCTCTCACACACACACACACACATATTATGTGGGGTTTTTAGATGTACAATTTCTGATCTTTACATCAAAAAAGTGTGTGAAATGAAAGAAATCGTATCCTCCATTATCAGAATACCAAAATATGGAAGTGATCAATATAGTAATCCTTGAGTTACAAATGTAATAGTCCTGCCAATTACATTTGGTTATGTTAATTGGATCACATTCAATGATCCCTCCCTGCTTCACCCAGTGTATTTGCTAATTGAATGTGAAGGTTATTAAGTGCACATGAGGTATCTCAGGGTGGAGAAGGCTATGGGGGGGGGCTAGTGATGGAGCAGGCTACCTGCTTCAGACCACCCAAGGCCTGCCACGACTCATTGTTCCCCCACCCCCCATCTTGCCACACCAGGTCTCCACAAGCACTGGGCCTGTGGACATTCACTTACTTTTCAAAGATCTCAATGATCAAGCAGGCTGTCTCCTCTCCAGTCTCTCTGCCGCAGTTTCTTTATCTGTTCCTGGCACTTCAAAAGCAGAGCAATGAGAGCAAAGGCAGAGTGGGACAAGCCTGCCCTGCTCAACTTGGCTGACACATTGAAACTGCCTGCGCAGGATACCCGATCCACTTTTGGAGCACTGGATAGCCTCAGTGGGTCTGAAGGAAAGCGAGATCGCCTCCCAAAGGCCTCCGTCCCTTTGCAAAAGCTTTTGGTGCAGTGGACTGGCCTGAAGGAGCGCGAGATCGCGCCCCCAAAGGCTTCTGTTCTTTGCACCAAAAGGGACAAAAGCACTCCTTGAGGCCTGTTCTCTGTGCCAAAAGCTTTTGCAAAGGAACCGAGACCTTTGGGAGGGCGAACACCCTCGAAACCTCAGAAAACAAGTGTGTGTGTGTGTGTGTGTATATATATATATATGTATATATGTATGTATGTATGTATGTATGTGTATGTGTATATGTATGGGTGTGGCTAGCTGATGAGGACAAATGAGTCTGAAATAGCTATACTAGTCTCCCACTTAAAAATATTTAACTCTTTGTCAGCAAAAAGAAATCTGAATCTATCTATCTATCTATCTATCTATCTATCTATCTATCTATCTATCCCTCCCTCCCTCCCTCCCTCCCTCCCTCCCTCCCTCCATCCCCTAAGGGTAAAAAAGGATATATGTAGCGTTATCTTCATTTTAAATGTCAAAAGGGTCTCTCTCTGTCTCTCCCTCCCTCCTCCCTATCTCCCTCTCCCTCTCTCTTTCTGCCCTTTGTCTGCCAGTCCTCTTCCCCCACTCTTTCTTTCTTTCCCTCTTTCCTCTCCCTCTCTCCCCCTCTCTCTCTTTCTCTCCCCCCCTCTCTCCCTCTCTCCGATCTTCTGCTTACCTGGGAAGCTGGCTTCAAGCTGTTCTCCAACAAGCTCAGAGATAGGCAGCCTTGGCTCTTTTATGACTCATGGACTTCAACTCCCAGAATTCCTGAGTCAGCATAGCTGGGCTAACTAGCTCTCTCCTGCCCTTCCTGCTTCCTGCAGAGACGCAGGAAAGGGAGGAGCCCCCCCCCAAAAGCTTTTCAGCTTGTTGGAGAACACTGTGAGTCTACTCTTTTACACACACACACACACACATAGAGAGAGAGACAGAGAGAGAAGCAGGGAAGCACAAGTTCCTCTCTCTGTCTCTCTCTGCAAATGGCAGAGGAGGCTGGGAGCCACAGAGGAAGGCTCAAAGAGCCGCATGCAGCTCCGGAGCTGCAGGTTGCCGATCTGTGGTCTAGTCTTTCCCTGAAATGAAGGACTATGGATTGCTCAGGCCACCTATTTGATTGGCTAACTGGGCCAGTCTGCCAGCTTGTTTTATCTTATGGATTTGCTGGGCTCCCCACTGTGGTTGTTGCACCCCCAGTTGCTGCCTACCCCACCCTGGTTGCTGCTGCATTCTCAGGGGTTGCATGTTCGGGGGCTATGGCCACCCCCCTTGCTGTGCTAGCAGTGCCTGCGTTTGGGGCATTCCAAGTCGCCGTAGGTCTCCTAAAGGTTGCTGCCTGGGTGGGGGCTGTTGCCATTTCCCCTGCTGTTCCTGTAGATTCAGGGGCGGCGACCAATCCCTTTGCTGTAGTCATCCCCCCATCAGTTGCTGGTCTTCTAGCCTCAGTGCCACCCCAAGTTGTTGCAGGGCCTCTATTATCTGCGGCAAATTCAGAGATTTTTGATCTCCTACCTGAGGGGGCTGCCATATTCCCCTTTGCTGCAGGGGACCCGTACTGGGTAATCGATATACACATCGGTCTGGGGATTTGCTGTCCCAGTAGTGGCCCAGGCCCTCATCTTGTCGGCGGCAGTTGGAGCTTCGGGAGGGGCGGCAACTGGGGCTGTCTCTCCATGGGACTGGAGGCTCTGGCAGGGGGCTTCAGGAGCAGGAAAGCTGCCTGCTCTGGGAAGGAGGGGCTGGTGGCTCCTCTCGGTAGGAGTTGAATGTCCTGATCGCTGGCATAAGGGGAATGGGAAGGTTGCACCAAACTTCTCATTTCTAGCCCTTCAAGCTTCTCTATCAATTTCTCCACTGACTGACTGCGGGCTGCGGACAGATATTTCCACTTACCCGAGTCCTCAGTAGCAGACAATCTAGTAGCTCTCCCCTGGTCTGGGGAGTGTGATATGCGGGAATCCTTTCATGGTAGTCCAGTCTCATCCGCCTTTGAGGCCTTTAAGGGTGGCAAGCTCGGCTCGAAGCATCTGGAGTCTTCGCTGGACTGGACCCAATCTGACGGCCAGATTAGCTGTCCTAGCTGCTTGAGTTTCACGGCCAGTTGGGAGGCCTGCAAAAGCTCTTTGTCTACCGGCACGCTGGCTGTTGCTCCCCCCCTGCGGTAGCAGCTGCTGTCGGGGTGCTGGCTTCAGGCAATTTTTCCCTCTCCATGACGAAATCTTCCCTGAGTCCTCGTCAACTTATCCCTCAATGCTAGGGACAGCGACTGCGGTTAGGGACCCCTAGATAGTTAGGAAAGTTGGAGATTTTGGCTTAATGTCATGGTTCCGACATATGAAACTCTTCAAAGATCTTCGAGGCATTGTTTACCTTAAAGAATCTTTATTCGAATAGCAACACATCAGCATATACATAGTCCAAGCCAAAATCTGATTTCCCCTCCTCTCAGCACATAGTATCAAAGCACAATTCCCTATAACTAACAGTCATAAATCACATTTGCCAATTAGTTTGAAGTGCTTTCCGCATAGTTCTTCATCCTGCCATGTCTTATCATCTCTTGTTACAAACAGCTTTGGTTCTCACCATTGTCTGACTAATCCCCCATGCACATTCCTCCTCCTCCTCCCCAGTATCATCTAATTCTAATTCTAAAGTAAAACTTAAAATAAAGGAAAATGGATGCATCTCCATATGTTGTCAAAGCAAGAACATCTGATATTAGCAGCATTGACAACTGGTGTTTCGGTTTTTCAGGAAAACTGATCCATAGCTTAACAACTGCCATAAAAAAGGTCCTAAAATTGGGTCAGTCATGTGATGGCAGTTATGAGTAGGCTCCATTATAGTTGTAATTTGAGGACTATCTGTACAAAGTTAATTCCATTTTTCTCAATAAAACCAAAAAGAAAATACAGCCATTTGCCATTGTCCAATGTTGGATATCAAAATGATCAGTCCAAAGTGAATGAGGCAAACTCCAAAACTCTCAGTCAGATTCGTGCATTACATCAATACATTCTCACAGGAAAGGAGAACCAGTTTGATCTAGTGGTTAAGACACCAGGATAAAAAGTGGGAGATTGTGAGTTCAATGTCCCATCTTAGCTATGAAAACCAGCTGGATAACTTTGGGCCAGTCGTTCTCTCTTACCCAACCCACCTCACAGGGCTGTTGTTGTGAGGAAAATAAGAAAAGGAAGGTGTGTTGGATATGTTCACTACCCTGAACTATTGGTAAAAGTAATAACGGAAGGATACAAACAAACAAACAATAATCATTATGACTTGTAATACCATTGTCCTCAGACAATATACTGTATATCAGGAGTTTGCTCCTAATTTGATGAACATTTCTGACCTGAAAACTATATGGAATAACTAAATGGCATTTATTTGTCCTAGAACAGAACTTTCCACAAAAGAGGAAATCTTGTTTAATGTACTGCAGATTTCTCTTTGCATCTTTTAACATCTGTCAGATTCTAAATGCTCCATAATGACATTCAATTTGCCAGAAGAGATTTAACACTTTGGTCTTGTTTGGAGTGTATGGGGAGGGAGGGATCTCTAGCTCTCAAACAAAACAGTACAGTGTCTAGTCCTGTAGTGGCGAACCTATGGCACAGATGGCACGCAGAGCTCTCTCTGTGGGCATGTGTGCCGTGGCCCCAGTCCTAGACCTTCAGCTGGGTTTTATAAAACCTTTTCGCTTTAGGCCTCTCCTGTGTGCAAAAAAAAAAAAAAAAGGTTCAATCAATTTCAGCTTCTCCCGGGAAAAAAAAGATCTTGTAACGCTGGAATTGATTGAACTTTTTAGTCCCACCCAGTCTGCCGTTACCACCATAACCACGCCCACCCAGTGGACCATGCCCACCCAGCACCCGACGATACATAAGTGGGTTTGGGGTTGCAGTTTGGGCACTCAGTCTCTAAAAGGTTCGCCATCACTGGTCTAGTCCCTTGTCCCCCCAGGGCCTACCCATCACAGAAAGTAAGAATTAGTTAATAATGGATAAGAGTTATATCATGGGTCCAAACCCCACAAAACATATTAAATATTATTTTGGTGGTACAGCTGTCATGCATGTTAAAAATGTGGGTAATATGCCATTATTTGCAGATGCTTGTAAATTAAATTCTACACAGTATTCCCAAGAATGGCATGTTAGAGCTTTAACAGATCATTCTATATCCAATAAAAATATTGTCATGACTATCGGCTGACATTTTATTTTTTTTAAAGAAAAGATCAATCCAAAATTTATTTACACACCCAACTGACCTTGGGGTTAAGATTAGTTTTCTATTCATCTTCAATATTTATTTTCAATGGATCTGCATGCAGAAAGATGGCTTAGATAGCCATTTATAAATGGATGCAACAGAAGGAGATCAACAGTCCATCTCTGCTCAGGTGCATAATTCAATGCAATGAAGCACACACCTGTTCCTTGCCAGGGATTGCCAAATCATCCTATAACTACAGTGGAAAAGATATAGTTATTCACTTCTATTTAGTTTAGCGTAACTGAACTACACTGAATTCTTTCTTTAACTTGCAGTGAACATCACTTTTGTCCCAAGCTATATAGAGGCAGTTTCTACCCTCACATGAACCATATTCAGGATAGATCCTTGCAATGTTTAGTAAAGCATGCACATACTGAGACTGCCAACTAGGCTGGAGTCTTAGAAACCATTCATCTTACTCAATTTCTCTGCTAATAAAAAGTGAATAGAAGAAATGAGTCCATACCACTGGCACTTCAACCCAAAATGCCACAGATTCCCTTTGCCCAGTTGGCCAGTAACATGTAACCTGTTCTTGGTTGTACTAGGATGGGAGACCATGAGAAAATATAGCAGCTCAGACCACAATGGGAAGTCTACAAGGAAAAACAAAATCCACAACACATAGGAAGGCAATAGCACACCATTTCCATCTTATTCCCAAGAAAACTACTTGAATGTATCTCTAGAGCAGAGTTCCACTTGCAACACATAATCAAGATTAAATGTTATTGAATTTTACTAAAATAATTTACTTTTAATTAGTGTTATTATGATAGTTAAAAAAGTACTGGATCTGCAGGCCATTTGCTCAGACTAACTGGATTTGAACTGATTTGCAAACATTTATTAGTTCTCAGTTTTCTGTTTGCCATTAAATATTTCCAGAAGGTGAATGTATTTATCAGTTTTCTTGTTTAATTCATAAATCGGCAGGGCGGGCCTGCTTATGGCCTTTCTAACCACTCTGGCCAGTTTTTCTGATAAAGCTTTTGAGAGACTTGCTTCCATGGTTTGCATTGATTAATCAGGAGGTTTTAGAAATGGCTGATACAATGGACATTTAAAATAATAGTTAATTTATGTTTTTCATTTCCGGAAAAGAAAATGAGCAGAAAGAGCTGGTGCTCTTTCATCTGTGACTTTTGATCTCCTGGATACTCTTTGCAATGCCCCCGTTTGGCTGAAATCTGTATGTAAAAGGGGGTAATCCTTTTTCTGATCTTAAAATCACAGAACAATACTAGTTGCCAAGTGTAATACTGCACTTGGTGCAAGGATTTCAGAGTTAGCCTTGATTCCCAAGGAAAAAAGATACGAAAGTTCCTCGTCCAGTCAGTGCCTTACCTTCCTTCGCTCGATCCCCCGCGCCTAGGCTCCTGCCCACTCGGCGGTCAGTTCTACTGGGCAAACGTCTTTAACCAACAGCATTTTCACTTGACGCAGGCCGATTCTCTTTCTTACCTGGTGATAGTAGCTCTGTTGGCCGGGTATTGCCCAGACCTCTGTCTCTTTCCTGCTGTAAATCTTGTAAAAACATACACGCACACAAAAAGTCTTTATCACATGCTTTCCACACTAGACTTCTCCGATCCTCTCTTCCAGCCTGGAGCTCCCCAGAACAAACCTCTAATCGGGCACAGCGATCACATGGTCCGATTAGCACTTGACTCCGCGTAAACTTCCTGCAGAGCTGCCTCTTTCTGCAGAGAGCGCGGCAGGAGGGCCCAGCTCTGCGGTTGATCAGCTGCCCGGCATTGTTCGTTTCCCCCCAAATGCCAGTGGGCATGGCTAGATGGCAAGTCGTTTTGTACAAAACGATTGTGAAGGTTGCAGAGGTTGTATGTATGATACAAAGGGGACTTTTGGTTAGTGCTTTGTAAAAGAAACAAGGAGCATTTTGTTGTTTTACTAGAAGGGAACTTGAAAAAGCAATACGGGTGAGCCTGCCAAAGGCCATGGGTCATGATGGTTACTGAAACCTTCTATTCAGAGACGATGCAGTTCTGAATATAAATTGCTGGAACAAAGTTAAAGAGGAGAAGAGTCCTTCATGTCCTACTCCAGTTTTTGGAAGCATCCAATTGCCCACATTGGAAACAGGATGCTAGATCAGATGAACCCTGGACTTTTCTTTGCACCAACCAACTTCTGTCCTTAAAATATACAACACAGCAAGGCAATTAAAGGTAGCTGCCAGATTGTTCCCACACAAGTGACACACTGCACAGGTTTCTTTGGATGTAAAGGTATGGAAAATTACCTTCCCCAATATTATTCTGCAATTTTCCTTTGAATAAGAAATATGCACAGCATAATTAAAACATATTGCATTGATTTATCTTTAAAATGGAATCAGATTCTGCACTTCAAATAGAGTGGGAGGGAACAAGAAATTCACAACACTTTGAATTGGCTATTTCTTGGATCTTTTGAAGAGTCAAGACAAAACTTAAAATTAGTTTTTTTTTTCTTTAAAAAATGTGTGCTTAGGGCTAGGCAACAGAAGAAGAATAAACTTTTGCTTATTCATTGCTGTTAGCAAAGGAATGTGGAATTCAGTATCTGTGAGCTGTGGGTTTCCTTGACAATAGTATTTCTTCTTTCTTTATCCATGAAACCTATTTGCTTCCTTGATCAAATGAAACATACAAAGTGTCTTCATTGTTGGAATGCTTGCATGCTAGTAGCACTTGGCTTCAGAAGAGGAAGCTCTGTATAGGTAGTACACTGAATTGCTCATATTCATTATTTGTAAAGTTTATTTGGAACACAGTGCAGATATATGCAACGTATGGAATGTTGTAAAACAGTTGGTTTTTAGTTAATTCTTTAGTCACAAACAACAATACTGTGAGCCAGCCTACATAAATATACCATGGAGGAGGCCCTCCCAAGGGCATCTGGTTTAATCTCCTGCTCAGTGCAAATATCCAAGAAATGAGCACTTACTGAGACTAGTTTTGGCTGGAAATTCTCTACTGAGAGAGCTTAGCAGTTTTTACATTATTTGTTTGGCCAAATGATTCAGTATCAAGAGGCTTTATTCAGCAAAATTAAACTTCCTGTCACCTGAGCTTGTAAGACTTGCTCTTGACTTCTACAGAAGGCAGATAGGAATACATCCCTATGGTACTTCTTCAGATAATATAAAGAGTGCTGGAATGGTTATTTTAATCTTTTCTCCTCCTCACTAAACCTACTCTTCACTCTTTCCTCTGTTATAGTGTTTTATACAATATAGTAGTAGAATATTTTCATTTACTTATTTTTAAATTAAGCCTTTATTTTTCACCTCAGAGTGATGATAGCAAGGTGTTAAGGTGAGCAGCCCTGAGGACCCCGTCCATTCAGCAGAGGTTAGATACATTATAATCAGCCACTCCTATTGAATACACTCTTTTAACCATTCACTCATTTCCTTTCTCCCATCATTCCATGCAAGGAACTTTCTTTCTTCCTTGCCAGGGCCTCTAAATCTTCTGAGAATATTTGTCTAAGGAGTCCTTAGATTAGAATATACACCTTATCTCACTTTTCTGGTAAACTACTTTCACTATCTGTGAACGATGAAGAGTGAGAAGGTTAACAAAGAAGAGGTGGGGTCAATTTATTTTCCAAAGCACCAGAAGGCAGGACAAGAAACAATGGGTGGAAACTGATCAAAGAGAGAAGCAACCTGGAATTAAGGAGAAACTTCCTAACAGTGAGGACAATTAACCAGTGGAACAGCTTGCCTCCAGAAATTGTAGGCGTTCCATCACTGCAGGTTTTTTTTTTTAATTGAATTTTTAAAATTTTACAAAAAACAAAACAACCCACCCCCAAACCTCCCCAACCCTCCCATTCCCTCCCCCGACCTTCCCAGAGCTGAACATAGGCTTAATTAAAATTTCTTCAAATAATCTTAAGAAAAAAGAAATATAAACCATGAATAAATCTAAATATTAAATACATTAATTAAACAAACTATAAGATAATTAACAATAATATATATATATGAAAAAACATAAATACCAAAAAAGTAATACTTAAAAGAAAAAAGAATAATAAAAAAAGATAAGAGAAAATATAATAAGAATAAAAAATAAAAATAAAAAAGGAAATAAAATCTATAAGATATTTTAAATATAAGTTATTGAAAAACTAAATAGTATTTTTTAATATCCAACTTATATTGTATAAAATCTATCCATTTTTTCCATACCGCAAAATAATTCTCCTGCGATTGATCCTTCAAAAAAGCCGAAATCTTTGCCATTTCCGCCAGGTAAGAAACTTTAAGAAACCACTCTTGCAAAGTAGGCAAAGATTCCTTCTTCCAACATTGCCCTACCAGCAGCCTTGCGGCTGTAATTAAATTTAACATCAATGTGGTCTCTTTAGTATCACAATCAGTAACAATACCTAACAAAAATAATTGTGGGGTAAATTTTACCCTCCTTCTAAAAATTCTTTGAATATTCCACCATATCTTAATCCAAAAGGCTTTTATATTTTTACACGACCACCAAATATGATAATAAGTAGCATCCAAACAACCACATCTCCAACATTTAGGCTGTAAGTCAGGATACATGCGAGACAATTTTTGTGGATCAAGGTACCATCTGTAAAACATTTTGTAAAAGTTCTCCCTTAAGTTCTGGGCTTGTGTAAATTTGACATTCCTCACCCATCACTGCAGGTTTTTAAGAAGAGACTGGACAGTCACTTGTCTGAGATGGTATAGGTTCTCCTGCTTGAGCAGAGGGCTAGACTAGAAGACCTCCAAGGTCCCTTCAAACTCTATTCTGATTGATTGAAATCCTAAAGAAAACAAAATAAGACATGGTATCTGAGTCTTTATAAAACTGCTGAAATAAAATATTCTAATACTATATTATATAAAATACTCTTATACCTCCTCCTAGCCTTTGTTTTCCATATTCCTATTCAATGCCTCTTCGTTGCCTTCTTCTGAAACTGTCCAGTTTAACTCCCCACTTCTGAAAATGCAGTATCCAGAACTGAAAATAGATCTCTACAAGGTAGTGTAGAGCAGTGGTTCTCAACCTGTGGGTTGGGACCCCACTTGGGGTCGAACGACCATTTCACAGGGGTCGCCAAACAACGCAGTCCGCCATTTTTTTCCCCTTTTCCTTAGCTGTGCTACTCCCTTTTATTCTATTGGCTTTTGAAAGCCAATAGAATAGACTCTCTTGAATAGAGTCTAATTCTATTGGCTTTCAAAAGCCAATAGGAATTGTCCAGGCTGTCTCTGCCCTGCTGAGCCCGCCAAAAGTCCCATTCTGCAAACGGTGCTGCACCTGTTGAGTAGTCCTCGACTTACGACTGGTTGAGTAGTCCTTGACTTATGACCGGTTGGGGGTCGCGGCATTAAAAAGGTTGAGAACCACTGGTGTAGAGTAACATGGTTATAGACTTATTCATATGATCAAAAAAGGGGTTTTCTGCATATAGAAATCAGAATGGGTCTATCTATGCCCTCTGATACTTTGTGCTTGTGTAATCCTGTCCCAATACCAGTCACAAGTGTTGATAAAGACTAGGTAAGGTATTGACATACAGTTCGGCATATGGAGGCTCTCTGCCTGGTCACTTGAAGGACAACATCTAGTATCAAAGGCAGGGCTCGTATACAAGGCATGTGTGAAATTAGGCCTCTTTAACAAAAATGAAGAAGCAAGCTTGTTACTTTGTAGGAATGAAAAATATTGCCTTGTTGATGCAGATTACAGTTAGATTGGTGATGGACAGATCTTCAATCTCAGAAGCCTCTCCATATTTACTGCTGGCTGCTGCTAAAGTTTGTATCTTGTTCCTGTCTTTTTTTATTGTGTGAAGCTATGGCAGGAAGGAGTCTTTAAATCCAGGTCCCTGAATTTTGTTTTGTTGAATTCTATTTGGCTAGTTTCATTGCTTTTAAATTATATTCCAATAATTTGAGGTGTACACTATAATTTTTTTTGAATAATATGCAGATTTGACTTCTCCTATTCCATTTTTTCACTATTAAGAAACAGAAATCACTCAGTATCCATCAAACCTAGCTCACATTTTACTACTTTGCAAACGTATGAAATGCTTTTCCTGAAATCAAGTAACATTTCACTGAGTTAGAAAAGTGGTATTCAGATTATTTTTATGTGGGATTTATTATCACTACTGGGATGTTTATTTTTAAAATTATTATTATTGGTGGCACAATGGTTAGAATTGCAGGCAAACAGCCATCCATAGTCTGCGGTTCAATCCTGACCGGCTCAAGGTTGACTCAGCCTTCCATCCTTCTGAGGTCAATAAAATGAGGATCCAGAATATTGGGGAAATTGTGCTAACATTATAAACTGCCTAGAGACTGCTGTAGAGTAAAGCACTATGGAGCAGTGTATAAGTTTAAGTGCTATTTTTGTTGCTATTATTATGGTTGGCTGCACAGTCAGCCAGATATTTGGACTGGATTTGGCATTTTTATCAATCTACCAAGTCCTTCCCAAGGATCTGGGATAGGCAGATGTTGATGTTACATGGTGTGAAAAGTATTTCACAGGATGTAAGTTGTTCCAAGTAAAGCTGCCTTTTGCAATTGGCTGGTGGTAATTTTGACAGTGTCGATGGTCTTC